GGGGGGGAATACTGCAAAATAGTACAGCTTACCCTTTTCAAACATTTCCTTACCCCTTGGCTTGAGGCAAACCTAGCAATGTGACAAATTTCCCATTATTGACTACCAACTGTGAGTACATAGGTCTCCAAAGTGGAAACAGAAGCTCTCACTACAGAGAAAGGTCAACATCTGCTACTGGGGTAAGAAACCAGGTTATGTTTTGGACAAGATGTATATATAACCCCCTCCAAATTTTAACCCTTTTAACAATTTGTGAGGTACGCTTCCCTGAGAGAGCACAACTAACTATAAGTACCAAGACTCATGGAGGCTCTGAAGATAATCTTTTGCAGTTCAAGGCAAACACATACAATATCCAACAATTCAAGAACAGGCAACTTGTTTCCCTCTAGATCAGGGGTCTCCAAAGTACAGCCTGCAGGCCACAGCCAGCCTGCCTTGCCTTTTTATCCAGCCCATGTGTGTGCATGTACGTATGTGCATGCACATATGCACGTTCTTTGGCCCTTGAAAATGTAGAAAATATATTATGTGACCCTCATGGTGATAGGTTTAGAGACCTTTGTTCTACATGTTTTGAATGACAACATCCATCAATTCTAGCCAGTGTTTCCAAAGAAGAGGGATTATCACAAATTCCAACCTGAGCCCCTTACAATACAGAGTTCCCCAACCACAGCAAATGCACAAACATGTTTCCTAACTAGACTAATGAGACCTGTAGTCCAATAGATCTGTAAAGTATTAAACTGGAAGAGTATAAATAATTAATTTCACAGTAGGCCTTGTTTAACTTTGCTATTCTTGGCCTTGATCAATATCAAACCTATTGATCATTGTCTCATATTATTTCAATGCTAATAGCATGAAATTGACTTTGATAACCGATACAAAGTTTGACAGATTAGCTGTCAAACCCTTATTGAATCATTTTGAATCCTTGCTCTTGCATAATTAAGGAAAAATTCATGCTGATTACTTCATCATTTGACGGTAGGCTGCACTTAACTAGGCAGACATGACAACCATGTCTGCCTAGTTGAGTTCTTCTGGATGAAACCAATGCCCTGGATCCATTCCAGTCTGGCTTCAGGCCACGCCATGGCACGGAAACAACACTGGTTGCCCTGTTTGATGACCTGCTGAGGAAGGCCGACAGGGGCAAAAGGTCTCTGCTGGTCCTTCTCGATATCTCAGCCACCTTTGATACCGTCGACCACGGTATCCTCCTGGGGAGGCTCTCCGAGTTGGGAATTGGTGGCCTGGCCTTGGCCTGGCTCCGTTCCTTCTTGGAGGACCGTCCCCAGGGAGAGCAGATTGGAGAAAGTTTCTCGGCCCCATGGAGCTTCAATTGTAGGGTCCTGCAAGGCTCAATTATCTCTACAATGCTGTTTAACATCTATATGAGGCTGCTGGGAGAGGTCATCAGGGGATGTGGGGCTTCGTGTCATGATACTCAGCTCTACATCTCCTTTTTTCCAACAACAGTGGATGCTGTTTGGTCCCTTGAGCGCTGTCTGGGGGCTGTTCAGCAATGGATGCAGGAGAACGGACTGAGGTTGAATCCGGACAAGATGGAAGTCCTTCAGGTGGGCACCTCAGACATCAGTGGTCTGGGAAACTCCCTCTATTTTTGGGGGTGTGTGTGACTTTTACCACCAAGAGTGAGGTTTGCAGCTTGGGTGTACATCTGGACCTGGTGCTCACCATGAAGTCCCAGGTGTCGTCAATGGTCCGTTCCATACATTTCCACCTTCGGCAGATTGCCCAGCTGCATCCCTATCTTGATGTGGGGGCACTCACCACTTTGGTCCATGTGCTTGTAGTCTTAAGATTAGACTACTATAATGTGCTCTACGTGGGGCTGCCTTTGAGATTGATGTGAAAACTTCAGATGGCACAAAATGCTGCAGCCAGACTTCTAACTGGGGTGAAGAGGCACCAATATATTTCCCTCACGCTGGCCGCCTTGCATAGGTTGCCCATTCATTTCCACGTTTCAAAGTTCTTACGATTACTTATAAAAGCCCTGCCTAAACGGTTTAGGACCTCGATATCTGGCAGAGCACCTTCTCCCACCCAGTTCTGCCAGAGACACTCGTTCTAGCCAGGAGGGGCAATTGAAGGGCCTAATACTGAGGGAGGCCCGGAAGGAAAGAAAGAGGAACCGGGACTTCTCAGCAGTGGCCCCTCGCCTCTGGAAAAACTTGCCCGTAGAGATCCGCCTGGCTCCCTCTCTGGGTGTCTTTAGAAGTAAACTTAAGACATGGCTATTTAGGCAGGCTTTCCCTCCTGCTGTATTTTAATATTTACATTTTTACATTTTAGATTTTTGCATGCTTATTGGTTCTATTGTTTTTACATTTGACTGTCTAGAGGGGCGGGGTATAAATCTAATAAAATAAATAAATATATAACCATCCTAGAGTAATTTGCCTCTTACTGCAACCATATATTGCTAGTAAGCCAGATTGTGGCCTATCATCTAACTTCAGTGGTCTTGTTGAATCAACAAACAGTGGTGATGATACATCAAAACTAAGTTTAATTTTGTTAGCAAAACTAAATAGCAGAATTCTGTAAATACTTAGTTTTAAGGCAAGTTAGGGCATTTTTGCTATGAATCATATGGGTTTCAACCTGCAAGAGCAAAAAAAAAACCAATTAGCCGAGAAAAAGGTATCCTCTATTTATTTTTAAGGTAGTGCATGCACTGTCATAGGGAAGCATAATCTCAAAGTAAAGAACCCTCTGTCTTCTCATGAAAGTTGAGGGCATATTTCTTAAAACTGTCATTTGTAGTTTTGGTAAGAACTATGAGTCTGAACATACTTAAAACATTTTAAAGCTTAATCTAGCCAAATACTTCAAGTCTATTTATATTTATCTAGAGACAAAGTGTCCAGTTGATTTCAGTCGAGGGCTACTTCCAAATAAACAATGACAACTGAAAGAACTCAAAAGAGATTTCTAAATCCTTTCAAAATCACTACAGTTTAAATAGTGTTGCATCAATTTCAATACCAATTAAAAGCACTTGATCTAACAGACTTTGTCTACTATCAGTTCTACATATAATTTCCTCTTATTTTAGAAACTAAAAAACCATAAAAATAGTTGAGAGCCAATGAGGGGCACTGTATGGTTTTGAAACAGGATTTGAAACGGGGAGCTAGGTTCAAATCCCACCTTGGCCATAAAAACTTACTGGAGTGCCTGGCAAGAGGAAACACTTCCTGAGCACCTCAAATGCCTCAAAACCCCTATCAGGATTGTCATAAAATGTGAGGAATATGACACTACATAATGCCAACGTCCAGACATTGTCACTCTATTGGAACTTATCTAAATACAGTACATAGGGAGCAAAATCTCCAGCAGCGCAGGGGCTAATACCTCATAAAAACGCCAGCGATCTTATCACCCTGTTCCGTAGTCAACTCGTGCGGATTAAAGAAAAGATAAGAACTTATGCAACCGTCTTCTAGCTGAAGCCGAAAAGAGACCCTTGACTTCACTTCTCGAGTCGGCAACGCGCAAGGGGGGGATGTGGAGGGAGGCAGAACATGCAAAACACACCCGGCCAGGGCTCGTGGGGGGTTTCAAACCGGAGTCACTCCGCCCACGCCAATCTGCAGCCGCCGCCTTTCCACCACCTCGCAAGGCCCCACTGCAGCCAATGGGATCCCGTTTGCAAAGGAGGGGAAGGTACTGGTGGCCAGTTTGAGTGGGCTTTCGCTCCCAAAGCGAGGCTTTCCGCTAAATCTGAAGGGAACAGAAATACAAGCGCCCAGGAAAGGTCACCCTCGGTGGCGGCGGCTCCCGTCTGAACCGGCGTACACGCAACCTTGTCGTGCCACACCGGCCCGTGCACGGCCGAAACCCCAACTGACGCCCACCTGTACCCGGGCAGAGGGCTCCGGAGGGATCTGGGCATCCCCCGAATCGTGGCACCGTCCCCAAGAGAGGCGTCCAAAGGAGGGCTCAGAAACAAGCGCCGTTTCCTCACGTGCCTTCCTTCTGGGGGTTGCTTCACGTGTGGAAGCCCCTTCCCCGGTCTCCAACGCTCCCTCGGCGCCCATTTCTTTGCAGAGCAGCTGCCCAGGGGAAACCTGCCCCACGGGAGTGGGGGGGGGAGAGAGGGAAAGGACCTCCCGCACCATCACCACCTCCACCTCTTCTGGGGCTTCCCCGCTCCGATGGTGCACTGAGGCGGGCAGCGAGCGACGGGGAAGGAAGCAGGCGCCTCGTCCTGCTCGTGGTTTACCTGCCCTCGCCTTACGGGGGGCGCCGCAGCAGCAGCGGCGAGAGGGGAAACGGGGCTGACATCTCCGGCCCTCGGCGCCCAACGGGAGCAGCTCTCCTCGGCCTCCGGGGGCTGCTGTTGCTGCGTAGGAGCGCACCGCAGAGGCGGGACGGGAGGGCCGAGCGGCGCCCGCCCCTCACGCCCGTGGCAGGCGGTGCCTCCTCAAAATGGCGGCGGCGGCGGCGGCTGGGAGACCGTGCCGTGGGGTGGGGGAGGGGGGCAAGAAGGCTTGGGTCTCGACCTATAGCGCCAGAAGCAGGGCTGAGGGAGCCGGGGCCTATCCAGCGAGGGGGCCCTCGCGGTCCTCTGCCGGCGACTGCCGCTAGGAAAGCACCCGCAGCTTTGCCTTTAGCTCTTCGTTTGGCCGCCCGTCTGTTTTTTCTTTTTAACAATAGCTCGGTTACCGCTGGGCAGTCCTTCGCACGTTGAGAACGTCGTCAGGTGCAGCTGACTCGCCCGTGAGAGGCAACAGGTTGCGTGCCTTCGTTTGAGAGTGCCGCTGGATTTTATATTGCTGCGAATCTAGCATGTATGCAGGTGTACTACATGCATGGATATATGTAACTGGTATACCGCCCCACTGCTCAGGGCGGTTTATATAAGATAGACCAGGGACAGCCCCCCCACACACACACCCAAAAGACATGACGATGACTGACTCATAAAATGAAAAGCAAGGCCAAAAACGTAGAGGGCGGAGGAGAGGCCTAAATTTAAAAATTAAAAGTTCACCACAGCGGGGGATTTGTCCTTAAAGGCCGTTTTATGAAGTTTTGTCTTTAATAATTTCTGGAAAGTCAGGAGGGAAGGAGCCCAGTGCACCTCAGATGGAAGTTTATTTCACAGAGTAGGGCCCACCACTGAGGCGACCTGATTTCTCATTGTTGTCTTTTTGGCCCTTTGGGGCATGCTACTCTTAACACTTGGTTTGGGAATAGCTTGTCAAAAGGGCAGCTGTTTTCTGAAGAGTATGTTCTAAGCAGGACCAAATATTGAGGTCCTAGATCATTAAGGGCTTTATAGGTCAGCATGTGTACCTTGAAGGGGTCACAGAAACTAAGAGGGAGCCAATGCAGGCAAGTCAAGATAGGGGCTCTGTGATCAAATTTATTAATCTCCCAAATTAGTCTAGCTGCTGTGTTTTGGTCCTGCTGGAGTTTCTGTACTGTTTTCAAAGACAGCCCTTCATAGAGAGTGTTGCAGTAGTCTTTTTTTGAGATTACCAATGCATGAATCAATATTAGACATTTCCTGTCCAGTGAGCAGGGTATTTGACAAATTTGTGGTACCTAGGCTTTTTATTAGCCCTTTGCCTCTCTCTTGTAGCCATTTCCCTCCACCCCCACTTTCCTGTAGTCTCCCTGCTCTTCTTCCTCAGGCCTTATGCAGAGAAAGTATTTGTTCCCTTTGTGCTTTTTTGGTGCTGGCTGAGTGCAAATCTCACCAGGATCTTGTCTCTTTAAGAGCACAATGGTTGAAATCCTGTTTTTTGGTGCAGTTTCAGGTAAGCCCATTTGAATCAGCAGAACTCAAGGATAGCTTGTCCCCCCAATTCCCCCACTGATTCAATGAGCCTGTTCTCGTGCTATTTACTGTGCTAACCAACATAATTTTGGCCAATTTCTTTTGAAATTATGGTTCAAAAATATTTCAGAAAGCTTGAGGATGAGGTTTTATGTGATAGATTTCTCAGGAGATAGATAAGGTGGTCAGGCACTCCCATTTCTTTAAGAACTTGCCATAGTTTGTTGTGGTCCACACAGGCAAAGGCTTTTGCATAGTCAATGAAGTAGAAGTAGATGTTTTTCTGGAACTCTGTCTTTCTCCAAAATCCAGCACATGTTAGCAATTTGGTCTCTAGTTCCTCTGCCTCTTCAAAATCCAGCTTTTACTTCTAGGAGTTCTCGGTCCACATACTGCTGAAGCCTACCTTGGAGGATTTTGAGCATAACCTTGCTAGTGTGTGAAATAAGTGCAATTGTACGGTAGTTGGAGCATTTTTTGGCACTGCTTTTCTTTGGGACTGGGATATAGACTGATCTTTTCCAGTCCTCTAGCCACTGCTGAGTTTTCCAAACTTGCTGGCATATTGAGTGTAGCACCTTAACAGTGTCATCTTTTAAGATTTTAAATAGTTCGACTGGAATGCCATCACCTCCACTGGCCTTGTTGTTAGCCAAGCTTTCTAAGGCTCACTTGACTTCACTCTCCAGGGTGTCTGGCTCCAGGTCAGCAACCACACTATCTGGCTTGTCTGGGACATCCAGATCTTTCTGGTATAATTCCTCTGTGTTTTCTTGCCACCTCTTCTTTATATCTTCTGCTTCTGTGAGGTCCCTACCACTTTTGTCCTTTATCATGTCCATCTTTGCACAAAATGTTCCTTTAATATCTCCAATTTTCTTGAACAGATCTCTGGTTTTTCCCTTTCTATTATTTTCCGCTATTTCTTTGCACTGTTCATTTAAGAAGACCATCTTGTCTCTCCTTGCTGTTCTTTGGAAATCTGCCTTCAATTTTCTGTAACTTTTCCTGTCTCCCTTGCATTTTGTTTCCCTTCTCTTCTCTGCTATTTGTAAGGCCTTGTTGGACAGTCACTTTGCTTTCTTGCATTTCCTTTTCTTTGGCATGTTTTTGTTGCTGCCTCCTGTACAATGTTACGAGCCTCCATCCATAGTTCTTCAGGCACT